AAAAACGATTGAGCGACGGCACGCAACAACGTACTAACACTTTATCACTTAATTCCTAAACCAGTATGTATCTTAAATAATTGTATATATATATAAAAACTAGTTATAATTTTCTAGCTGTAAGTAGATCAAAAGAGCTTTACGCTACTTATGATGAACATGAACCATTAAAATGTAAACGTGCTCATGAATTCCTATTATGTCCAGAAATTAATCCACTTCATCCTAAATTAAGTAGACCAATTTGTGAAATCTTACTAATACAAGATCCTCAAGAAATTCCAAATAATTGCGAACTAATGAAATTTAAATTGGACACATCAATCTATCATAAACTAACGTATAAAAATAAATGGCTATACGTGACAAAAGGAGAAAACATATTTATAACCTGCAACAAAGAGAAACAATCCGTTAATCATAAATTAAGCGGGGTAGGAGTAATTTCACTCAACGAAGCATGTAAGGGTTTTACAGAACGGGACATACTCATTCCTGGAGAAATTAACCACCTGGAAGAATACACAGATTTTATACCTACGTCCAAAATACTTCACTTGGAGGAACATTTAACGTCGCCAATAGATAAAACTATGTTCCAGGACAAGTACATAAAAAGTAACCAGCTATACAACTTAAACGAAGTAGCAAAACCTGTGAGTTATTTCCAAATCAAAAAAGAAATGGATAAAAATCAGAATAAATACATCGATATACAAAGGAATAACGGGTATTTACTATACGCCGTTACTGGCATAATATTTATATCAATTTCAATATTTTGGATTAAGAAAGTTAACGAAATCCTAACAAGACGAAATACGAACCGAATACAAAATAGAGAGGAATCTATCCAACTTCAAGCAACAGCCCCAGTAATAGAACCGCCAGAGATCATACCAATAAGAGAAACAACAGATGAAAACAACCTTGCACTTTACCCGAAGTTGCGTACGGAATTTTAGGAAAATCCACGGATTTCCCTTTTTAAAGGGGGAGAAATGTAGTAAACCTCAAGGTGTCACGTTTCAATTGGTATTCTATGGTTATCTATTAAAATCCTTCAACCTTTTCCTTATCAAATAGCACGTAGTCCATCTTTATATGACATTGAAAGTGCATATAAATATGGGTGTTTTACACTATGTAATTTAGACTTAAGTTATTACTGTAAGTACTCACTACGGACACGCGGACTCCTACGGAGTGTTTATGGTCGTCGTGTCCACTATTTTAATCAATTAATCATAATTATTTTATGTATCAATAAACTATCAATTTCTAACTAAATTAAAGTGTGTGTTATATTATTTATAACAACCTTTCCTTCTTTAAACGTACGTCGAGAATCACGAGGCTGCACCGCCGTAAAAGAAACGTTGTTCACGGCAGTGACAGGGCTGTGCACTACATCGGGTTATGTTTATTATTTCCTTTATATATATATTGATAAAATATGGTTTAATTTATTATATTTTGTTCCCACGTGGTTTTGTTTTCCTTGTTATTAATATTTGTTGAAATATACTTATGTTTATTATTATGATTATGTAAATACTAAATTCAGCCTTATTTAATCTCCAGACACTCTAGTCACAAGGGCCAACTGCCGAGTTAAGAGCTTGTGTGGCGAACGGAAGCACTTATGGCGACAATCAATAACGCGCGACGTTTATCGAATTATCTATATATTTCGAGAACATTAAAGGGCTTTAGCCCCCACCCCCTTTGGCCGTATTTAAAGTTATATAAAATGAAATTACTATAAAAAATATTTATAACAAATTCTTTATTAATCATTATTTGATAATAACAAAAAGAACAATTTTTTTTTCACAAAACAGTCATACTGGATTGTGGTTGCTGCCTGCAAACATGCATTTCAACCGTTATTAATATAGTACCGATGTTCTTATCAATTCAACTATTAAAGTAGTAGAATGACTGGTCTGGAAACTGTACCTATTTTCCAACATCAAACAGCTGTAGACATCGAAATAGATAAACAGTACTGTATTTTTTCTATCACGATTGCTGTAGAGTGTAGATAATAACTGATATCAATTAGTATCAAATATCAATTTAAGTATGGTTGTTTGTAAATTTGTATGTGTTATAACAGTTACTATAAAACAAAATTTTTAATTTAATTTCGAAATGGAAGACAAAAAAAGAAAAAGTAAACCTATTTTTGAATTTTTTCAAAAACAAATAAAAGAAAATGAGAATCAATCCTGTCAAGTAAATGTAAGTAAATTTAAAAAACAAAATAATTACCACTAAATTATAAAATACCATCACTTTGTTTTAATTAGCCTGTTCAACATCAAATAACAGAAAGAATAGAACCAACTCAAGTCCCAGTAAGTAATTTGTATTTATAAAATTAAAAAATATATACATACAACAAACGACTAGATAAAAATTAATTTTTACGAGGTACTGCATAATCAATGTTTAAAAAAAAATATTGAAACAATTCAAACTGAAACCAATTTGCTAACTATTAATGACAAGGTAAGTTATAACTTTTAAATTTAAACTAACAATACATATATATTGTTTGTTATTATTATTTTGTTTGTTAATTATTATTTATAGCGTGTGAGCTTAAATGCATATGATATTAGTTTATGGATTGACAAACAGTTTGATGATGAGTCTAAATTGATGTTTTTAAAAAACACATGAACACCAAAGAACGGATTTGTGTTTCCTATTATTAAACAAGGGAAACAGAATAGAAGTTTCCAAATGGAGTGGTTAAATATGTTTAATTGGTTGGCATATAGTAACTTAAAAAAAGGCGGTTTTTGTAAATACTGTGTACTGTTTCCTCCTAGTGATGGTGGTAAAGGTAATCAGGTAATTTGTGTTTTATAACTGAGAAAACAATTATGAAATTAGATATGATTAAAATAAATGTATTTTGTTTTGTTTTTAGCCATTAAGAGTATTTGTGACAGAACCATTTGTTAATTATAAAAAAGGTTTAAAATTGTTGAGAAACCATGGATCTACTGACTATCATCAACTTTGTATTGAAAAAGGATCTGCATTTTTACAAAATTTCAATGCAGGAGGTTCAAAATCTATAAGCATTATGATTGATGACAAAACCAAAAAAATTGTAGAAGCTAATAAACAACGGTTGACTCCTATCATTAAAACTATTATATTTTGTGGTTGAAACAATTTAGCTTTTAGAGGACATAGAGATGATGGGTCTCTCAACCCTAATACAGCAATTATTGGAAACGAAGGAGTAGTTAGAAGTCTTTTAGCATTTAGAGTAGACTCTGGTGACCAAATTTTAGTAGAACATTTAAAAACAAGTAATAAAAATGCTACAATGATCAGTAAAATTAAACAGAATGAATTAATTAATGTACTTCATCAAGTTGTTAATGAGGGTAAGTAAATAACATAAAAAATAATACTTGTGTGATGAGACTACTGATGTCAGTACAAAAGAACAGATGTCTTTATCTATCAGGTATTAATTTCAATTTATTGTATTTGACCTTTATTCTATATTAATTTATTGTTTCATTCTTAGATATGTTGACATGGAAGAATTTAAAATCAAAGAGGAAATTCTTGGATTTATAGAACTAAGTTCAACAACTGGATCAGCAATAAAGGATGAAATTTTAAAACAAATTGAAAATTTTGGTTTATATTTAACTAATGTTCGTGGTCAAGGATACGATGGAGGGTCAAACATGTCTGGTCGGTACAACGGTGTCCAAGCTTTGATACTTGAAAAACAACCTTTAGCAATTTACACACATTTTTCTAGCCATGAGTTGAATTTTTACATATCAAAAGTTTGTGAACTTCCATCAATTAGAAATATGATTGATACTGTAGGTTCCGTTTCAGTTTTTTTATCTTTGACTGCTAAACGTACTAATATGTTGATAGCTACCATTGAAAATCATGAATCTGTTTTATCTTAAAAAAAAAAAAAATTAAAAGCTTTATGTACCACTCGTTGGGTTGAAAGACACGATTCAATCATAACTTTTCGTGAACTGTACCCTCACATTGTAGCAACTTTAGAGGAATTAGAAGAAGAAACTGATCGGGAAATATCAGCTAAATCAACAAGTTTTAACTCTAGTATAAAAAGAAGTGATTTTCTTATTAGGTATCCTAGAAACAGTTGCTAATCTTTTTTCATTTACAAAAACCTTGAGTATTCAACTACAAAGACCACAACAAGATTTGATAGGTGCATTTTCATATGTTGAAAAAATTAAATGTTTATTTGAAGAAAAAAGAAGAAACTCTGAAATTGAATTTTCTAATTATTTTAAAAATGCATGTCAAGCAGCAACTTTAGTTGGGGAAGAAATAAAAACTTCACGAGTATGTGGCCGGCAAACAAAAAGAGCCAACCCAAATACATCAAGTCCTGAGGAGTGGTTTAGAATTACAATTTTTATTACATTTATTCATAATTTTATTATTGAGTTAAAAACAAGATTTAATGACAGATTTAAAGAAATTATACCTTTCGAAGGTTTAATTCCAGCTAATAAAGATGTATACAACATTGATGACATTTTGAAAGCATCATTCATTTATATAAAGGACCTACCGGCAAACTCAGATATGGAGTTACAAACTGAATTGGAACTTTGGAAATTGAAATGGACAAAAACAAATATAGTAGAACCAAAATCAGCTATAGAGACATTATAGTATTGTGTTGCATTTTACCCAAGTATTAAAGTTCTATTACAAATATTTGCAACGATACCAATTACAACCACTACTGCCGAGAGATCGTTTTTTTTAGAGTGCCTCGATAGAGAGAGTGTGGTCATACGTTATCACAAATT